TGGTTGGCCACCAGGAGGCGCCTGAGCCTTGGACCAGTGGGGAGGAAACAAGGGAGAGTGAGCCGGAAGCCAGCATTGAGTTGTTCCTGTATGCACGGCACCAAAGAGCTAATAGGCATCAGGAACAGTTGTGCAGTTACAGGAGATAATTGCACTCAGCTGGCAGTCATTAGGCTCCTCTCCAGACTATAAAAGGACTGCTTGTGCACACGCCCCTCTTGCAGAAGTCAACGCAGGAACGAATGTCGGAGAACATTGTTATGAGCTTAGCAGGCTGGATTGCTGCCAAGCCTTATCTGTGTTTATTGCTTGTCTGTGCTGGTTTGCTGCCAAGGACCTGTCTGTCTGTTAATTAAATACGGTAACTTATCTTTGGCTCAGAGTGTGCTTTGGTGTGAAACGAGGGGGGTCAGAACAGATTTGCACTCAAGACACATCAGCCATCAGTAGACATATAGAGGGAGAGATGATAGCTTGCCCTTCCTGTATTGGTGTGGGAGAGGTTTTCCTTGAAGAGGGTATTGTTTTCTGAAGAATTTTTTGTCTGGTGTTAATCCATGCTTATCTAAATTTCTTTTTGTGTGTGTGTGTAGTCCTTGTTCCCTGCATTTGGTTGTTTTTTTGCAGATATTTTGTGACCCAACTAGACAACATCATCAATACTACAAGGGAGTGAGGTTTGTGGAGTGGAGAGCGGGAGGAGGAGGAGGAGGAGGAGGAGGAAGACTGTGGCTCCTTGGTGCTCTTCGAGCTGGGTTATTTTCTGGTTGACGTCTCATGACCCAACTAGCGAACATTATCAGTGCTAGAAAGGACGGAGGCTTTGCTCCGTTTATATAGAGTGGTTTGCCCTGTCGTTATTGGTGGGAGTGGTTCCTCCATCAGATCATTTACTCTCTCCTAGCCCTGCTGAGATTGCCAATATGGTCCTGGAACGTCTGCAGGAAAACCAAGCTCAGAGCGCACCAAGGACCCCACAGATCTCCTCCTCTTCTTCTACCTCTTCCTATGCACAACCCACCCTCCTTTCTAGCCCTGATGATGTTCCCTAGTTGGGTCATGAAACATCTGCAAGAAAACTACCCAGCTCAGAGACCAACAAGGACCCCATAGTCCCGAGATGGGGAACCTATAGCGTGCTTGCCACAGGTGGCATGTGGAGCTATCTCTGAGGGCATGAGAGCCATGGCCCTAGATCAGCTGCAGCGCGCATGTGCATGCCAGCCAACTGATTCTTGGCCTTCAAAGGGCCTCTGGAAGGCCGGGGGGGGGGCGTTTTCGCCCTCCCCAGGCTTCAGGAGGAGGCAGGGGGTCATGTGTGCATGCACAGGTGTGCGCACAGATGCGCGGCGTGATTAAATTATGAATGGGAGCACATGCGTCCACTCGCTATCGCATCCTGTGCCAAAAAAGGTTAGCCATCACTGGCATAGTCCTTCCCTTTTCCTTCTCCCAAACCCTTTTCCCTTCTAGCACTGATGATGTTACCTAGTTGGGCCATGAAATGTCTACAAAAAACCCGCCAAGCTCAGAGAGCACCAAGGACCCCACAGCTGTCCCCCTTTCCCCCACTTCAACATTGATGATGTTACCTAGTTGGGTCACGAAACCTCTGCAAAACAAACCCCAAGCTAAGAGACCACCAAGGACCACCCTCCTTCCCCAGTTCAACGCTGAACTACAAACACTTTCTTCTATCAATAACAGTGAGACTTTTTCCCAGAAATGTGAAATGCCATTTCTTCCCCCTCTTTGTTTCCCCAAAGGAAAAAAGGTTAAGGGAGAGACAGACGGAGACGGAAGAAAGCTTACAGAAACGGCTACAAGCAGCTGCCACTGACATGGAACTCAGTGAGTTAATCTGAAGACTTTTGGGGGGTTCTTGTTGTGATTTGTTTATTTATTAGACTTATATACCGCTTTATACGGCTTTCAGCCCTCTCTAAGCGGTTTACAAATTTTTTAGCAAATCGAGTCAGCAACTTGCCCCCCACAGTCCNACTGTCAGGAAATTTCTCCTCAGTTCTAAGTTGCTTCTCTCCTTCATTAGTTTCCACCCATTGCTTCCTCAGGTGCCTTGGAGAATAGTTTGACCCCCATATCTTCTTTGGGGCAGCCCCTGAGATATTGGAAGACTGCTATCCTGTCTCCCCTGGTCCTTCTTTTCATTAAACTAGACATACCCAGTTCCTGCAACCGTTGCACCATAAAACGTTGTTGCCCTGCTCCAACCCCCCAGGTGATGCCTGTTCTCAATCAGTCTTACTTTTCAATATTATATTGTATTTATTTATTTACTTACTTACCTTACTTGCTTATTTCCTGCTTTTATTTGTTCACATATAAGGCAGTGAACAATAACCAACACACCTTCGTCCTCACATTTTCACCACTACAACAATCCTGTGAGAGAGAGGGACTGGCCTAAAATCACCCAGCCAGATTTTATGCCTAAAGCGGGGCTAGAACTCACCGTCTCCTGGCGATTGACCCGAAGCTACCTGGCCGCCTTTCATGCCTAAAATGGGATTGGAACTGGCTGTCGCCCAGGGACTGTCATTTTTGGGGACTCCTTGCCAAGCAAGGGAGTAAATCTCTTTAATAACATGTTGCTTGATTTACTAGACAGCCCTAACCTCTCTTCCTTTAGTGAAAACAATCCACTTTGGCTATTGCATATGTGTGAATTCTGCCCATAAAACTCTTAACTTTTGGGCTGGATGGTGATCCTGGCCTGGCTCTCAGAACCTTGGACTGGTTTTGGAATATTTTTCTGCACGCTCCTATTAAAAAGCTAACCCAGTCAGGCAAGTGACTGTCAGACAATCCTGTGAGGGAGAGGGACTGGCCCAAAGTCACCCAGAGGCTTTCATGCCTAGGGCAAAACTAGAACTCACCATCTCCTGGCGATTGGCCCAAAGTCACCCAGAGGCTTTCATGCTTAAGGCGGGACTAGAATTCCTTGTCGCTTGATGATTGGCCCAAAGTCGCCCAGGCAATGTTCATGCCTAAAGCAGGACTAGAACTCACTGCCTCCTGCTCTCTAGCCTAGCGCCTTGACCACTAGACCGCACCGGTGGTCTCTTCCTAGGTTTTTAACAACTCTGATCGCCTTATAAGCCCACCGGCCACTTTTTCTCTCTTGTCTTTCTGCAGTTATGAAAGGACCAAGGCCAGTGGTGTTGAGTGGCCCATCGGGCGCGGGAAAGAGCACTTTACTGAAGAAACTTCTCCGAGATTATGACAACGTCTTTGGATTCAGTGTCTCCCGTGAGTGAGCCCTGGTCTGCACCGACAGCGTGCATTTAAAACCCATTTGGGTCGTGCTAACTTCAGTTGCTTCTTTATTCCTCGAGTTCCCTCTGCTGTTGGAAGCATCTCCAAATTATGAATGAATTAAACGCATTGCAGTGGTGGGATTCAAATAATTTACCAACCGGTTCTCTGCCCTAATGACCAGCAGGGTAGGCGGGGCTCGGTGGTCATGTGATCATGTGGGCGTGGCCAAGTCAATGTCACTCAGGGTGATGGGCACTTAGCTGTGACAATGGTAATAAGGGTTAACTGGAGAGGCAGTTTCTGTAAGCAGGACAATAAAGATGAGGCTAGAAACAACCCCAGAATGTTTCCTTCCTGCCTTCCTTCCTTACAGGATTAGCCCTGTGAAGTGGGGAAAAAATAAAATAAGATTTCTTCCAACAACCGGTTCCCCGAACTGCTTAGAAAGTTACCAACCGGTTCTCCCGAATAGGTGCGAACCGGCTGAATCCCACCACTGACGCATTGTGAATTTAGCTCACGCCGTTTATGCCTACCCAGCTAGTCCTCAACTTATGACCACAGCTGAGACCAAAATTTCTGTTGCTAAGCAAAACATTTTGTCTAGTGAGCTCTGCCCCATTTTACGACCTTTCTTGCCAACGTGGTTAAGTGAATCGCTGCAGTTGTAAAATTAGTCACACGGTTGTTAAGTGAATCTGGATTTCCCCAGTGACTTTGCTTGTCAGAAGGTTGCAAAAGGGGATCACGTGACACCCCCCCCCGGGACACTGCGACCGTCATAAGTAGGAGTCAGTTGCCAAGGGTCTGAATTTTGATCACAGAATTAATTATGGGGATGCTGCAACTGTCATAAGTGTGAAAATGGTCATAAGTCCATTTTTTCCCCAATGCCGTTGCAACTTTGAACGGTCTTTAAATGAGCTGTTCTAAGTTGAGGACCACCTGTAATGTTTCATTTTTGTCTCTTGCTGTTGGCACTAATACAGATAGACCTTGACTTATGACCACAATGGGGACCAGAAACGAGATGGTCTTTAAGTGAGTCAAGCCTGATTTTGTCAGTTTTTTGCCAAGGTTGTTAAGTGAATCAGTGTAGTCGTTAAGTGAATCACATGGTCATTAAGCAAATCTGCGTTGGTGGGAAGCTAGCTGGAACGTCTCAAATTCTCATTTGCATGATTCAGGGTCTCTGCAACTGTCATAAGTACATGCCAGTTGCCAAGCACTGAAATTTGATCGTGTGACCGTGGCAACGGTCGTAGGTGTGAAAAATGGTCATCGGTCCCTTTTTTCAGTGCTGTTGTAACTTTGAATGGTCAGTAAACGAATGGTTGTAAGTCAAGGACTACCCATAGCATCTTTTTTCCTACATTGCTAACCGCTTATCTTAGCGTAGTCCTTAACTTACAACCATTCCTTTAATGGCTATTTGAGCACTGGAAAAAGTGATTTATGACCGTTTTCACAATTACGACAGCTGCAGTTACATGATCAAAATTCGGACACAACTGGCATGTATTTACGACGGTTGCAAAGTAATTGCCGTTTGTGTCCCTCCCAGTTTGTTTTCCACAAGCAAAATCAACAGGGGTAGGGTGGAGTCGTCAGATTCGCTTAACGACCACACACTTCGCTTAACAACCATGGTCCTTTAGTTGAGAACTACCTGTACTCATTATGGAATCAGGGCATAACTTAAAAGCGAAGAGAAGATGCGATTAAATCAATGTAGAAAGGATTGTAAGCATTATGGAGTGTCTCTCCTCGAGAAAAATTATTATTATTTTCCTACTTTCAGATACTACAAGGCAACCGAGACCTGGGGAGGTCAATGGAAAAGGTAAAAACCCAAAATTTATTGTCACTTCCAGGAAAGAAAACAAATATAATTATGAATTATCGTCGCTTTCCTCAATCTGGATCTCGGAAGCAAATTATGATTAAACCTAAGTTAACATGGGCCAAATACAGATAGTCCTTGATTTACGACCACAATGGAGCCCAGAATCTTTGTTGCTAAATAGGACAGTCATTCAGTGAGTTTTGCCTCACTTTATGACCTTTCTTGCCACGGTTGTTAAGTGAATCCCTGCAGTTCTTCACACGGTTGTTAAGTGAATCTGGTTTCCCCATTGACTTTGCTTGTCAGAAGGTCGCAAAAAGGAATCACGTGACCCACCCTGGGACATTTGCAACCGTCATAAATACGAGTAATAAATGCCAAGCGTCGGGATTTTCATCAGGAGGATGCCACAACGGTCGTAAATGTGAAAATCGGTCATAAGTCACTTTTTTCAGTGCCGTTGTAACTTCGAACATTCATTGAATGAACTGTAGTAAGTCAAGGACTACCTGTAGATAAACCTTTTGTTAAATTTTAAATCCTGACTTTTGATCAGAAGTTCAAGATGAATCCTAATTTTCTTCACAACAGCCTTGTGAGGTAGGTTGCAGGAGAGACCAGTTCTCTGGACAAAGCTTATTTTATTTATTATTTTATTTATTATCAAAATTTATATGGCGCCCAATCCCGAAGGACTCCAAATCTGAGGATTATTTTGGGTTTCCTTTAAAATAATTTTTTAAAATTATATAAAATAGTTAAATAATTTTAAAATAATTAATTTAATGAGTTGTTTTGGTTTAATGTAGATGTATTTTTATGCCAGCTGAGTGTTACGTTATGGTAAGATCCAATAAATTCTATAAATAAATAAATTAGGAATGTTCACTTTAGTAAAAAATAAACATGGAATATTTTACAAATTTCAATTGTTCCCAATTCTGAGACTTCTTTGATTTTTTTTAAAAAGTGTATTTTATTTATCTATTTATTACATTTCTTTGCCGCATACCTCGTAACAAAATGATTTGCTAATAGTTGATTTATTAATAGTAATTATTTTTATTGGAAAATTAAAAATGGATTTTTATCAGAAATTTTCACTTCAGTAAAAAATAATTATCTACTAATACAAATTCCAATTCTTCCCAATCTTGAGACTTCTTTTATTTTTTAAATAGTTTAATGATTGAATTATTATTAATAATTAACTAATAATAATATAAAAATTATTATTGTTGCAGATCCAGCCAGCATACAAGTAAATAATTCAGCAGGATTCATTTATAGAAGAAACTTATATACGATAACATAAAATATGATGCATGCATACAATACCCATGCAGCTCTTGCAACAGTAGAGAGAAGAAGTAGGAAGTACAAGGACAAGAAGTAGAAGCAAAGACCAAGCATTCAAGCAAAGACAAACAATCTCTTATATACAGAACACTTAAGCTAAGCCACGCCCAGGCTCCAAGCCATCTGACATGGTTCAAAACAAATCCTGTCTCTCCAAGCAGTTTCCAATTGGCTGACTTGTTGCTATGGCTATTCCAGTTCACAAACTCTTATACACTGACAATTATAATTTTATAAAAATTGTAATAATATTTTTTATTAGAAATTTTCACTGAAGTAAAAAAATGAAGATTGAAATACTACAAATTCCAATTTCTTCCCCAATTCTGAGGTTTCTTGTTTTTTAAAAAAAAATAGTTTAGTAATTGAATTATTAAGGACAATTGTGTACTAATTGTTAGGTAAGCTCCCCGTTGGGAGAGCGAGTGCGTTCAGAGAAGCGTTGTGGGAGTTGTGTTGGAGAACACACAAGCCAGTATATAGAGATACTGCAGTTGAAATAGGCTTTTACTTTCGTGGAACTAGAGGTATCAGAGTCCATCAAACAGTCCAAGTCATACATGGATAAGACAGACAGTCATCAACGTCTTTCAGTTAAAGGATAATCCAAATAACATAGTCCAGTATCATATAATCAGTCCAGTAATCAAAGTTTGCTAACAGTTGCAAAACGTACAATAACTCACGGCACTCAGATGAGAGAGAGAGAGAGAGAGAGAGAAGGAGAGAGAGGAGAGAGAGAAGGAGAGAGAGAAGGAGAGAGAGAGAGGAGAGAGAGAAGGAGAGAGAGAGAAGGAGGGGGAGAGAGAAGGAGAGAGAGAGAGAGAGAGAGAGAGAGAGCGCTAACAGTCTGGCTCCCTCTTATGGCCGATTGAGGAAAAACAGCAACCAATCACATTTTACAGTATGTTTTAAAGAAACAGGTACAACATTGTTACATGATTTATATATTGCCAACCCAAACGTTAGTATTATATTCCTAACACTAATAATTCATAATAAGTGTTATTAATATCTTTTACTAGAACTTTTTACTTAAGCAAAAAAAAAACAATCACAAAAACATATGAGTTAAGGAAAAATGAAAAGAAAGTGGTGAAAAATAATACAGATTTTAAAAAGGAAAGAAAAGATAGAAACAACTTTCCGTCTCCTTTACTAAGAAATCTGTTTTCTTTCACCCCTTCCTTAAAATGACATAATTCCCATCTTCCCATCTTCCGCCCTGTTTAATCAGAGTTGATTCATTTAATTTAAACCCATCAATAAGGAACCATTGTCTCTTCTCTGTGCCTTCTTCTCTTTTCTTTCTCCTTTTGAGTTCTTCTCGGAAGTGGCAACTTGGGGTGAAATGCTACCGGTTCGGACTAACTGGTAGCATTTTTTAAATACCGCTTCGGGCGAACGGCATGGAAACTGGTAGCAGATTTCAGAGCATTTCACCGCTGGACAGAGCCCACCGCATGACAACAACCTCATCTCTAAGAACACTTGAAGGACCCATTGACATCTCTCTCCTAACAAACCTTTATGAACGCTAGCGGGTCTTTGTGAAAACCTGGTTTGTTTCTCGCCCTAGATTACCACTTTGTGACCAGGGAAGAGATGCAGAAGGAGGTTGACGCGGGAGAATTTGTGGAGCACGCCGAGTTTTCGGGCAACATTTACGGAACGAGGTAGCCTCTTTTGAGACGGGAGATATACTGCATATTGCTTTTTTAACGGTAACGTCTGCCTTTGTACACAGGAGGACTAGGCTCTTAGATACACAAAGTATTTATTTATACCAAACGCCCAGGTATAGAATAGGTGGTGCCTGGCTCAATACTAGTAGCTGTGAGCGGGAGTCCGAGTGGACGACCATTTAAATAGGAGCCATCCATGTGCAGCAGCTGCCAAAAAAGCCAACACAGTTCTAAGCTGTATAAACAGAGGGAGAGAATCAAGATCACGTGAAGTGTTGATATCACTTTATAAGGCCTTGGTAGGGCCACACTTGGAATCTTGCATTCAGTTTTGGTTGCCATGATGTAGAAAAGATGTGGAGACTCTAGAAAGAGTGCAGAGAAGAGCAACAAAGAGGATTAGGGGACTGGAGATTAAAACATAGGAAGAACGGTTGCAGGAACTGGGTATGTCTAGTTTAATGAAAAGAAGAATTAAGGGGAGACATGATGATAGCAGTCTTCCAATATCTCAAGGGTTGCCACAAAGAAGAGGGAGTCAAACTATTCTCCAAGGCACCTGAGGGCAGGACAAGAAGCAATGGGAGGAAACTAATCAAGGGGAGAAGCAACCTAGAACTAAGGGGAAATTTTGAGACAGTGAGAACAATTAACCAGTGGAACTCTTTGCCACCAGAAGTTGTGCCTGCTCCATCACTGGAGTTTTTTAAGAAGAGACTGGGCAGCCACTTGTCTGGAATGGAATAGAGTCTCCTGCCTGATCAATGGGGTTGGACTAGAAGACCTCCAAGGTCTCTTCCAGCTTTGTTATTGTCCTGTTTCTAAATACAATCTGAAGCCTTTGAGCTCATTTTTTCAGAGACCTTTTTATAAACTCGTTTTAAAAACAAAAGAGCTTTAACCACTCCTCTTCCTTCCCCCGGCCAGCAAAGCCGCCC